AAGATACCAGACTGTTAACGCTACTGTTAGTTTCTGTCTCTTATACACATCTAGATGTGTATAAGAGACAGATATATATATATATACAAATTACACGTCGGGAGTCAAACTTTGTAAATAAAAGATTTGAAATGACTAAGAACAAATTTTAATTAATGTTCCGAATTTCAGAAGGGATAGTATCCCAAAATCGTGGAGATATACGGTACTAAACACAGTATTATGAAAACAACTTTTTCGAGAAAAAGATTAATTAATCTTAAGATGGTCTGTGTGATGAATATTGATAGAAAAATAACTTTTACTCCAGAGAATTTACCTTATTTTAATATTTACCATTATTGACATTTTATTAAAAGAGGTTCACACTACTAATAAGATTAACCTCATTAAAAAGTATATCAAGAAAAAATAATGTTTTACTAACACATTATACTTAGAATTGAGTCACTATTCAGATTGCAACTCAACCCTTGTTCACCTGAACTCGTTTTGTCTTCATCAATTTTTATTGCACTTTCTAAGAAGGCCAGTCCATTTCCTGTAAAAAAACAAATGACGAAAAAAATTAGAAAATATGTTGTTGCATATGTGCCTTTAAGACTGTACCCAGCATCAGGACCAGAGCCACTCTTCCTTGTGTGGTATCATACCTGGTATGGGATATATTCTTAACTTAAAGATAAAAAACATAACATTCAGCTTCAGGGACAGATCCAGAACATTGGGGAGTGCTGGCTATAACAGCAGTAGTATAAGGAAGGGACTGGAGTCTGTATTCTATTTTTTCTTATTCAATACTTGGTATTGGTATGATGCAATCAGGGAACCACTTCCTCCCCCCACCCCCACCCATTGGATCTGCTCCTGTTCAGCATATAGTGTTGCCAGGATATTTAATCATTCATCTCAAATGTTTTTTTGAATGTCAATTGCAAATTTAATATGCTGTTTGTTTCATTCTAAGAAATGTTTTCAAAATTCTGCCCACAAGCTCTATCAAAGTTATTTTCATCTCTTGTCAATCAACAATAGAGACTCAATATCAGTTTAATGACAAATCTGAAAGGGATGTTGAAAATAAAAAAGTATTTTTGTAGCTCTCTGACGTAAGTTGAGGCATCATATGAACAGAATGATGAGGCAGAGTGTCAAATTCTATGAACGTAGACAAAAGACTAATGAAGTCCTCCTCAACAACTTATCATTTTTACTGCATAAACAAGATTTTTTTTTTTTTTTTTTAGAAATTCTCATCAAAACTAAACTTTAGAGATATAATTCTGAGTCATGTCAATGAAAAGAACATTGTCATGTGAGATTTACACACACACGCTTTCTGTGTTGGACGGTTGAGTGACCTTGTGTGCTAATACATTATTAGGTAATGCTTGCATTCCCAACACTATATGGAATTGACAAATTAGTTGTCAATATTTAATCCTTCTTTTTGTTGTATAGGATGAAATGTATTGTAATTTTTGTTCATTTGGAATGTATATCACAATATAGAATCACATTCATTTGTTCAATTCCAAGAAATAATGGTGCTCGCATTATCAGTGACGTTTCACCACTACTAGTGGTTTCTTCAGACTGGCAACTCATAACCTGTTTCTTGTTGTTATTTGAAGAAAACACTGTTGAGGGCGTGATGAGTTGGTTGAAGATGTTATCAGTTTGTAGGCCCCTCGTCTTTGTTGAGTGTATTTTTCCCTCTACCTATCCAAATGGACTCCTTGAGCCACCTCATGGTTTTGTGTGATTCTCTGTCAACAATTTTGGATTGCTCCCAATCAATAGCATGATCAGGCTTTAAGGAGTGGGGATTATTTTTAGTTGATAGACTGCTCTGTCACAGGATTTTTCCCCCCCAGGACGTTTAGATTGAAAGAAAGCATCTTACACCACCAGACTCCATTAGGAACACCATTTTAGTGGACATTTTCACTGCTGTGAAAAATTCACACAAAATTCCAGTTGTATACAAAACAAATATCTGGGATTTGTACGTAATTATGAGCATGCAGCCTTAAAATTTCCCACCCAGTTTAAAGCTAATTTCATGGCCCTCCACCCACCTTACTAACCTACTTTCCCATCCTTACAATCCACTCTTATTATTCAGAACTTACCAATGTTATCAATCCCCTCACCCTTAAAATATTTGTCACCCACTCTCAGTTTTCTACAGCTAAAAGCCTGAGGGCTTTGTTGGTGGAGGGTCCAGACCATCTCAGCCCCACCATGGTTGGAGCTACAGTACAATATTTTGTGGGTCTATGGCACCTCTAGATAGCCGGACTTGGCATACTCAGACATATAATTCATTGTTTTAATTTTTTAAATTTACAGGGGAGAGGGTAGATTGGCTAGGCACTATCACTGGAAACTTAATAGGTAGTTTTTGCCGCACGACGTTAACCTTAACTTTAACTGATGACGTCATAATTTATTCATCTTGTGTTACGGAGTATGTTAATTTCAGGATTTTATGTGCTCGACGTACGTTGGTTACGGGTTTGCGCATGCGTATTTCGATATGTTTACAAAAAGGGTGGAGCTATTGCATTGCATGTTGGGTACTAATGTTAAAGTTAAGGTTAATGTTGTGCAGTGTAAACTACCTAATAGCATGTTTATTTCTATGTTGATGTGTTTTCTCTTGTTTGCTGTAAAGTACATAATGACGTCTTTTACATCTGAAGTTATATCCAGATGAGCCTGCTAACTGAATCACATGAGAGTCACTTTGATTACATGTGACAGACTCGAGGGATGTGTGGGCTTACCTAAGCCACATTAAGCTGTCCTACACATTATGCAGAGTTTGTCTTAAACCGGAGCTAGGTAATAGCAAGCATACACAAAGGAATTAGCCCATTACTTTCAGGCTTTCAAGCTGATTCTAATTTAAAACTGCAATTTTAATACCTTGCCTTTTAATTATTATTTTTTTATTAGTTACTTCCTATTACCCCCATCCCCACCCAAAAAAAAAATTACACACCCACCACTCGCTCCCTCCCCCCCCCTCCACTAAAAATATGCTGAGCAAAACCATTCACTCAAGTAGGTAAATTTCAACTCGTATCACTTTTTTTTGGAAGCGCCCTTACTTACGTAGACCTAAATCTCCTCAGTTAACCTCATCAGCTCCCCCATGTCAGTACTGTACTCATAGACATGCCATTTGGTTGTAGTTTCATTATGCGCTTGTTGAGAAATAGGTACAATAGAAAAATAAACTCACTTTTCAAATTTGTATCAATATTATTTGCAATTTTAGTATGTCTGGGAAATTGGTGTTAATTTGTGTACTTAGCAATGAGGTTTGATTTTTTTAGATAAGGACTTGGATGTTTATGTCGGTGATGCTTTTTTTAGTGTCTGTAAAGCTTGATGAAGCCTCTTCACCTACATTATGTTCTATATTCCACTCCGGAATTTGGAAGGTACTGTAGGGCCTACCTAGTATATGATAGTTGGATACGCTGGGCAAACATCGCATCGGCCAAAATACATCAATGCTATGAGGCGTGTGTAATCTGTAGATCGTTATTGACGACAATCAGCAGACAACATTTAACATCATAGCACTCATAATCAGGGTAGATGAATTTTTCAGCAACCACACCCTTCACACAACACATACACCCCCAAACAGTGTACATATACAGCCACAACTACACCCCACGTACATATCAATTACTGTATGATGATACAAAATGCAAGCACTGCATAAAGTATACTGCTACATCACCCACTCACATCAAGGAAGTATAAAAATAGCATTCTCCATAATAAACTTACATTGACAGAGAGGAATTCTTAAAATTTTAAGTTAGAATGTTTTATTCTTTTACAGATAAATTCTAGACAATTTTGTAGAGAAAGACTACATCTTTTAAACACATTTTTCCTGACCAATTTATATAGAAATATTTTCAGCTTGCCTAAATTTTTGACGAATCTTTGTTTTTTCCTTTCAAACCTAAGTGTATTACTGTATTAGATATATATTGTGCAACTAAAATATGGCCCAATTTTGTGTGTTTTTTATACGTTTTGCCTAAAAAAACTATAGGAACTGTAGCATTGCCATGTACACACTACATAGTTATGCGTGACTTCATCAGTTGGGTGGGGGAGGGGCAGAGCCACCAGGGCCTCCTGGTCCAGGGGCGGAACTCCGGTGGTGGCCCGGGTTCCATTCACATAATCAACAGTTGGTTGTGACAATGAATGCACAAGATCGCATGCAACTACTAGATTCTACTAAGTGTGTGGTTGGCTGTGTTGTTTTGGTCGGGAAAGAGAAACTTTCTCGGTGAATTGATTCTCGAACGAGATAACAAAAGCTCTCTAATGACTCAAGCTACTGCCTGACCATTTTCATATTTTTAATAAAACCAATTTCTTCTAATTTTAAATACATTTTCCCCTGAATTTGTACTTATTAACTGCTTGTTAGGTTGCTAGGTATATGAAGCTATCTCACAAGGTACTGTGACGTAGTATTCTATACAAAAGATCACATTTTTTCTTGAATGCATCTAGGAATTATTCGCATATTTTGTACTATTTCTATTGTTTTGTGTTTCATGTTTTAGTGACGTTTTCCCTGTTATTTTATTTCTCAGTGCCAAATATTATGTCTTATTACAATTTCTCAATAAATTTAAATTCAAATATGTAAAATAAAAATAGGCAATTAAAATATTGAATTACATTTTTCAAGTTTTATTTTAACTAGAGTATATCTAACTAGAGTATATCTTTCGCAATACAAATAAAGTAAAAGCTTTTGAAATTTCCTTTCCAAATATTTTTTTTCTTTTGTGAAATATGTCCGACTAATTTATGGATTGAAATTCTCTAAATATGAATGGAAATTTCATAAACTTGTGTTTCCTTTTGTCTTTGCAGAAGACAGTCAGATGGATATGAATGAAGACGGTCTGACTTATTATTCAACGCATGTGCAGAGAGATTGCTTGGAATCAATGTAAAACTGTCCTAAAGGATGGGAGAGTCATGGGAAGCCTTGTAAAAACATGGAAAGCATCATTTTATAGCAAAAGGGTACATAGAAGACTGTGATTGAAATTGCTTGGGATAATACTATAAAACCTCGAATTGAAGCCCTGGGCTTCTTTATTTTTAGCAAAATTTGGATGGACTGTTTTTTTTTTTGAGAGAGGGCTTCTTTTTGAGGCTACTATTGCAAAGTAAAGATGGGGGTTTCTTTTCAAAATGAATGAATAGGGCAATTGTAACATCAATCTGTATCATGGAGTCACCTAAAATACTGTATAAACCAAGAATGTTTTAAATTTATTTTATTTCTTTGAAATTCATGTGCAGAGGCTACTTTTGCAAACTAAAGAGAGGGGTGGGGGGGCTTCAATTCGACATGGGGCTTCTTCTCGAAATTATGCCCATTAGGCTTCAATTCACAGTTTTACGATATATCAACAGAGAAATATGTTACAAATAAAGAATGGTGTTTTTAATTTTCTAATTAACGTTATGTATTTAAATAATATTAATACAAAATTGTAATAATATGTAATAATGCTCCAGTTTATTATACTGTGATTATGCATGCTGATATGTGAAGATGCATAGCTGATATGTTTCAATTTTCTAAAAGTCATGGAAAGAGTCTCACGATTGAGTATGACTGTCACTCTTAATCATTATCCAGATTATCAAATTTTCTTTAACAAAAAAACTATTGTATGCCCATATATAGTCATGATGTGCCTATATATAATAGTATTGATGTGATGTCATCATGACCATATTTGGGCATGTCATGTTTTTGTCAAATGAAATTTGATAGCTTGGACAGGGCTTTTATAATGTCAAGTAATATGTTGTTTGCTTTCTTCCAACAGTGGAAAATATTGGAAACAAAATATGTAATACAACCGGTCCATGGATTTCTATAAGGCGCTTTGATCTTTGTAAAAGATAGAATTATTATAATTTGTAGCCTTGTATATTGTAAATAGTCATAATTTTTGACCAAAATACTATATCCCTGAAAAAATTTCAAATATATGTAAAAATATGCCTAAACCTATTTATTTTTTCATATTTCAATGTACGCAGTTATTGAATAAACAAACCATTTCAAATAGATTGCACCTCAATGTCTACCGGTATAGTGTATTTTTTGCATTGCATATTTTTTCCTTTATCCTGGAGCATAGCTAGCTTTAGTTAAGGGGGGATCATTTTAAAGTTTAAGCAGAACTCTTTTGGTGTATGGGGAAGTAGGTTGTCTCACTAGGGCATCGAAAAAATTGTTTATATTTGTTAAGAAATGTGTTTTCCAACTTTGTCCAAGAGCATTTTACAAGGGAGTAAACTAAATTTATGTTTTATGTGAATTTAATTTCTGCCTCATGATATTTCATAAATGTAAGAAAACTTAACATTTGGCAGTTGGCTTTCTCAGTTTAATGAGTGCACATCAGCAAGCGATTGAGCACACAATGTGCACATATCCTTCCACATTCTATGACTACACACAGAAATAAAACGAACAAAAAACTTAGTAATTAGCCGGGACAAAACCCTTATTACCAATACAAATGCTGTATTATAATTTATTCATTACGAAGTATTGTACTATTTTATACATCAATTCCAATTTCTTTTAAGCATAACTGTTTGTTCCCCTTTAAGTTATGGGTTTATTGCATTCTTGTGAATGTGCAGCCTACTCATGTAGAATTGGTAGCTTTGGATTAACTTTAATGACAGTTGACAGTTGTGTTGTAGTTTTCCGATTCTCATGTTGGTAACGATGAGGGATATTATTTACACATTATATTATTATATTATTATTAGTCATAACATCAATAATATTTACAATAACATTTATTAAAACACAGATACACCATAACCTAGACAGAAAATCTTTAATAAGATAAAGGTGGCTATTTAATAGGAAAAAATCAATTGATATTTTATTATTATTATTATCATCATTATTAATATTATTATTATTGTCTTTAGTATTATAGTGTTATTATTTACTTATTATTTATATTAATTCATTTTTTACAACTGTACATTTTATATTGACATGAATAAATGTTTATCATTAACATTTACAATATTATTATTCTTATAATTATTATTTTTAATATTATAGTGTTTGCCATTATTAACTTAATGCTATTATTATTATTATTAATTATATTTATTATTATGAATTATCTCTTTAACATCAAAGTTATTTATTAACATTTATTGGCTACCATTATTACATTTGTTGAATGTAAATTATTACAATGTTATAAATAATTGATGTTTGTACAGTATATGCATACACAACTACAGTATGTATATTGATTGACTTTATATGTAGTTTATACTTCAACATGTACAAATATATAGATTTAATTAAGCATTATTGCTATATCCTTTTCAGGATATTAAATATTAATGAATTTACACTTCTTAGAATGGCAATTTGCATAATTGTATTTTTTTTAAAACAGCATGTTGTGTGGAAGTGGATCTTATATACAAAATCAATATCTAAAAATATAATGGAAGACTGTGTCTTAACTTACTGCCTGTATCTTGAGTCAAGGGTCAACTGCAAAACTTGTACTTAGGATGGGCCCTTCCCTTCCCCTTCCCTCCCCCTGCCCCACCTTACATGCATCCCGCCTTTGGCCTTACTCAGCGCATCCCATTGTGATTTTCTGATCCAATAAAATCTTGTTTGTTTCGCATTCGTTGTGCAGTTGATTTCACTTCACTCATTAACAATTAATTTATCACCAGAACCTTAACTTCAGTCTTTTGTGAATTTATTTGATGCCTATGTAGAATAGTCAAAATACAGTAACTAAAATATAATGAAAGATAAAAACACGAAATTATATGAAGACGTAAAATTGATGAAAAACGAAAGATAAAACATGCAAAAGTTACATACAAGATATCCTGAGGTTAGGCCTATACATAATATATATACACATAAAGTAGAACCCCTCCTTTAGGACACCTCTATTCAGCGGATACCCCGTAAGGAGATACTTTTCTGTGAAACAAGGGGAAACATATCTTTTAACGCTGCTACCAACCAAAAATATTGAAATTTACAAGAATTAAAACGGCAAGGAACAAGCACAAACAAAATGAGATAGGACCACCCCAAGCGTCAATTAAATCACTGTCGAGTTGGGACCCTTCACAAAAGACAAATGCTTGCAATATAAAATTTTGCTTATACTGTAAATGAAACATTCAAATTAAAAATTTTAAAAATCTGTAATGAGACAAGATGAGGCTGCTTTCACAAAATTTGTATGTACACATACAAATCCTCATGTAAAAGAATACAGGCCTTTTGAATGATGTGAATGTTGTGTTTTTTTGTTTTTTTTTGTATTCTATATTCATGCTTCATTAATTCTTCTCGCTCGGTGACTGAGGCGATTAACACACTATGGTTTTCAGTGTTTCCAATTCCCAATGCGTTAACGTTCAGTGGTTTCAGAAGTGCTCTATATAAGCCATAGATTTTGTTAATGATTATGTTTACCGGGTTAATAAACTGGTTATTTTTACTCAGGAAGGCAAATTTCATATGTGTTTTGTATGTATGGCCATTAAATAAATATTATCTTATTTATCCATGTTATATTTTTTAATAGCAAGACAAAATATGTTTTCCTGTGATACGATATGATAGTCTAAATTATGCGAATTTGGACTGGATTTTTTTCGGTGTGACATAGGCCTACACCAATCACAACCCAGTCCGTAGAGTTATTTCCATTGGGGTCCTTTCCGTGGTAAATTGGGAAGTACCCTATTATGTATGGAAGAGTATGCTGCGTTTTTGCGTGCACCCGGTATTAAATTTAAACGGTGCGTTATTGGAAAGTTCAATCTTCCATTCAAACAGCGAATGGAATTGAACCGGGGACCGGCGAAGATCTCCCATGGATCGTCGCATAGGGTAGTGACCGCCAACAGACAGTTCAGCCGAGTGGGCTAAGCTGCTCCATGTATACTGTTAGTTCCTATTTACCATTGATAGACTACTGTTTGGAAGCCTTGTTAGCACCAGGCTAGCATAGATATATTCTGAACTTCATTCCTTATCAAGAATTCAATTTAAAAAATATATCAATATAAATATTCTTTTATCCGTCATATGCATTATATAGAATGAAAAGTAGTCGTCTTTGTTGGTCAAATGATGTATAAGGACCTATACACAATAACTTGTGGAGAGTCGTTACTCCACTAAAGTCAAGTGACCCGCATACCCCATCCAAATCCAACTAAGCATTCAGGGATAGGGTCGTTATTCCGCTAAGTTATTAGTGGCCCCATACTCCACCATACCCGAAGCATTCAATTTCCAAACATCGTCATAAAACTTAAATATCACAAATTTTCATTGAAAAATATATTTGATAAGGCTCGTCGAGGAGCAATGTAGCAAGTAAGCTAAAATTTTAGTTGTTTAATTAAAACAAAATATTTGATATATTCCTTGTTATTCTGACATTAAAATTGAATTTTGTCATGATAAATATTAATTACCAATTAGAATGACATTTAAAATTAATTAATTGAAACGTGTATATAACATTTCTTTAAATATTATGTTTCGAATCACGTGATCTGCACTGTTGGCCCATAGAGAAAATAGAACCTCTATGGTTGGGACCATAATATGGATTTCGCGGCACTTTGCTTTCCAATTATCGTGGTTATATAGCAATGGTTAAATTGGTTCTCGCATAGACATGTAATTACGTGCATAAAATATGGGCCTAGGATGTATTTTGGGTTCTGTCATCATCTTTCTATGCCTGAAGACGATGTAAACAACCTATAAAGCCTTCCTACGTTGATTAGATACGATCATCCATCACTTCCACATAGACCTACATCTATTGACGCGTGCTCGTTCACTGCTGTACTTACACGCAAATATACGTCGGAGCTCATAAAAGCAACTATAATAAGACGAATGCAAACCATAAATGCATCTACCTTATATCATAGGTTTTAGATATAAATAAGCCTACTATGATCTGATAGTGATCTATTGATTTAAAGTGGACATTTATTTAAGATACACTGCTTGCCAAAAAATATAAAGAATAGAGAAAAACCTTAACAAATTTAATTAAATTGTTTAAAGCTCATTTAAAAGGATCAATTAAATTAACTAACCAGAAACTGATCGAAATAAGCAT